TAGCCGGAAATTTTCGGCATTCATCGTTTTGGGAAGGCTTGGATAGATTCTTCTTTCATTCTCAGCAGGCGGCACGCTCGGTGGCAACAGATTTGCCAAAGACATTGCGTATATATATTGAAATTTAATTTAACTCTAATTCAAAAAGAAGCGGGAGGCCCTTGAAATCAAAGAGTTTGCCATTTTCATCTTTGACACTAATCGTGATCCTATTTATAAACTTGTCTGTAGAAGCGTCACGGAAAGCATTTTGCGATGAGTCCATGTTATAGCTGACTTTTTCATAAGGCTTTCCTCTGATGGCAACCTTGGCAAGAAGGTCTGACTTCTTTACATTCAAAAAGTTTTTTGTCGAGTCGATGAGATCGCAGTGGATAAAGTAGCAACTCGGGCTGTTAAGCTTTTTGATATATTCTTTCCTCATATCTCTCCCGATTCCTAGAAAATTGGCCAAACCATAATCAACCGAAATTTTTTTCAGTGTCGATGATGTATCCCGGTTTGTAGTTTTAAGAACAGAATTGGGGTTATTCGTTTCAACAGCCAATATTTCTGTCTTCTTATAATATTCAAAACTGGATTTCAGTTCTTTTACGATGCTTTCGACATTGTAATGCCCTTGAGGAGATGATGCAATCACAGCATTTGTTTCTTTAAAAAATATTCTGCCAACGCGAATCATATTATGCCATGAGTTGAAAAAAGAACAACTCAAAAGTCTGACATAGCTTGCTCCTGGGAGCGGGTCTTCTAAATAGATAGTCTGCCCGTTCTGTTGCGTGACGATGGTGAGAACAACCATTTTATATTCAACAAATAAAATTGTGTTCAACTAATATAGCGAATATGTGGAGTGATATCCGTCAAGATCCCGGGTTTGATGATCCCAAGTTTTTGAAAAAAGAAGATGCTGCAAAGAAAAAGGCATGGACAAACTTTTTAAACCGCTTTCCAAAAGCGGACAAAAGCAGGTTCATTTCACAAGCAATGATCAATGAGAAGAAAAACGTAACCGCGGAGGTGTTCTTCAAAGAAAGCAAAGGCTCGTTTCAAAGTGTCTTCGGCTCAGACAGAAAATATTGGAGCTCGGAAATGAAAGAAGCACTTGGTTTGGGAGACAGCAGGGGTTTTCCTTACCAATTGGCTCCGCTTGGTTCAAAAGTTTCCCTGCCCATCCCTGCGGTACCTTTTGACGGTAAAGCGCCAAGCTTGAAGAAAATATTCGACGCCCCAATCCAAATCTACGTCACGCCTTACCAATATTTCACGACAAAATTCCGAGAAATATTTCAAGAAACCAAACTCAGGCACACTTCTACAGTCAAATCAAAACGCTGGTAAGGAGGGCCTGACATGAAATATTGGCCGCAACAGCTCAACTTCGCGGTTTTCTGCTCGACACAGGGGTGCGGAGTTTCTCGCAAAATCTTTGACAGTGGGCTGGATCTCCCCCGCAGATAAGAGCTTTCTACAAATTCCACGTATATTTCACGGTCAGGCGCATTTTGTACCAGCAAGGAGGAATTCAGAGCATGAGCGCTTTGCCCGGAGATCCGCCGTTCAACCAATACAATAACAATTACGACATCGCTTCGTACAAAAGGATATGCAACGAGTTCGGCATTCCCCCCTCGAGCAATTTCCGTTACACGCACGGGCCAAACCACAGTCTATGAAGTGTTTACATGTACGCGTCAGGCGCAACTAAAACTGACTACCAATACCCTGGATGGAACAAATTCAACAATGAAGGCGGCAAAGGGATAAAAGGGGACTTGATTTATTACATCGAGCCGGGTGCCTCTTCTGATGCTCAAGTGGACTGGTTCGCGCCAAACACCGCGAATGGTTTGACACAGGCGGGCTTGTCGAGAATAAATCAGTCAATTGAGGCTTTCGTTTACTGCATCCTGGGCGCGCAAGTCAACGTCCACAGCAGCATTCTCGGCTCTGGCGGTCGGGCAAGAGAAGCCCAGAGTGAGTTCCTGGTGCTGATGGAAGACGCGATCAGACAGCCCGACTTGGCTGCGAGCGTGCAAAGGTACCAGCTCGCGGTGGACTAAGCGAAGGTCAGGCTCAATCTCGCTGTTGCCCCCATGGCCTGGCTCATGCCCGCGCAGATGATAATAAACACCGCGGGCACAATCGGTTACAAGAACAAGCTGAAACAGGCGGTCTCCGGTATGTAACTTGGTGTGAACAACGAGGTAAACCCGGAGACAAAAAAAAGCTGGGCTCAAAATCATGGCAGGCGGCCTGTCAAAAATTAACCCACCCAACAGCCATCCATCCAACCCAATACACAAAGCTGCAACAGCCGAATCAAGGAAAACAGCTCCATCCGAAACTCAACAAGCACAACCACCGGCGCAAAAAATTCAGCCCACGGCTCTGGATAAAACACCGCAACACGAAATTAACAAAACGGCAGTAATTGTCGGTGTTGTTGGATTATTGGCGTTGCTGTCCCAGGATCTTTGCTGACCACGTTCCGCACCTAACAAAGGGGTTTCTTCATAAGAAGTGTCAGGCAGGCCAGACTGCTCGTGAGGAAAAGTACTCATTTCCGTTTGTTGGCCCCCATGGTAGCGGTCGCCAGGTTGGTAGGGAGTGGACGCCACGCCTGGCTGAAAAGGACAGGTTGTGTCAACCTCTTGTTCGCCTTCATCAGAGTCGTGGTCAAGCCGATTGTCAAGGTCCGGGTCTTCGTGACAAAATTCGCCACCGCCTTCCGCCATAGCGATATATTTCAAGCCTATTATTTTTCAAATTAGAAATAATCGCCGGTGTTTTATACAATGTCAGTTCTTCCAGAGAACCTTTGCCCAACATACAGCGAAAAGACCGTGCACGCCATGAAGGCCAAGCGCGTGGTGAAACGAATCACCTTTACCCCCTCTGAAGCCAACCCCGGAAGTAAGCTGTACGTTTACGTCCCCAAGCTGAACGAGAACGAGGTTCTGGTGCCGGGCTTGCTAGTGCTTGTCTTTGACTTCGACCTTTCTGGAGGGGAAGCCAACAACTTCCTCGTAAAGAACGTCACGTGGGCGCTTGTTGACAGGCTGGTCATGAAGTTTGTGGGAACAAAACTGCAGGACACGGTTGGGTACGACATCTACAAAACTTTTGAAGACCTTTTCCTTTCGCAGGAAGAGCGAGACAACAGGATTCTCGAAGGGATTGAGAGCGAGGATCTGCGTAAGATCCGCTCAAACGCGGGAGACAAGAAAACCTCGGGCGTCGATGCTGAAAACAAGCTGAATGACGTGTACAGAAGCAAGTACCGGATCAGGCTGGACCATCAGATCTTAACCAACCACGGTATTTTCTACCACCAGGCCTTTTACAACGACCTCATGTTCGAAGTAACCCTTGCCGAAGCAAAACACGTGGTCAAAGGCACCGACACAACCAAGCTGAAATACAAGCTGACCAAGATCCAGCTTGAGTACAAAATGATCCGCAGCAAGACTCTGGCAGACGAGGCGCAGAGCGTTTACTACAACGGAAAAGAGTTCCTTTACGACCACGTGTTGCATGACAATGAGGTGCCCTTCAAAAAAGAAATTGACCAGAAGCTCACCATCACAGTCAACGCCCAAAGAGCATCGCTTAAAGCCTTCCTCCTCCTGTTTGTAGAGCCATATACTGCTGGCCAAAGAGATTCAGAAAAACTCATCTTCCCCGATCTGACGAAAGTAAGCGTCACGGTCAACGGCTCGCCCAACATGCTTTACAACGACGGCATCGAAGGCAAGGACATGTGGGAAGAAGCCCGCAACCTGTTTGTAAAAGAAAAAAACAAAACGGAGCACATGGATATGACGAAGTTTTACACCGGTGATAAGTTCGGGCTTGTGATTGATATGCGCTCCATGGTTAACCAAGAAATGCACGGCAGCGGCACGCGTATTGTGAACAGTACGGACGGTGTCCAGCTGGAAATTGAGCGGAAAAAATCCCCCCAAAAAGACGCAGTCGACGTAAAATGCCACATACTCGTCATCGCCGACTCCCAGTTAAACATTATGAATTATCAGATGGTTGATGTACAGGGGGGAATATAACATGGACCCGAGCAAGATACCCTTCAACGCTCTCATCGTGGGGCCGACCAATTCTGGCAAATCGAGGTTCGTGGTGGACCAG